GAGTAGCTGGGACTACAGGTACATGCCCCCACGCTTGGCTAATTTTTTGTATTTCTCCTAGAGATGGGGTTTTGCCATATTGCCCAGGCTGGTCTTGACCTCCTGAGCTCAAGAAATCTGCCTGCCTCCTTTGGCCTCCCAAAGTGCTGAGATTACAGGTTTGAGCCACCGCGCCCAGCCCTTTGCACTCACTTTCTTTCTTTCTTTTCTTTTTTTGAGACAGAGTTTCGCTCTGTTGCCCAGGCTGGAGTGTAGTGGTGCCATCTTGGCTCACTGTAACCTCCACCTCCAAGGTGGTGAGGCATAATTCTTGTGCCTCGGCCTTCTGAGTAGCTGGGGACTACAGGCATGTGCCACCACACCCAGCTAATTTTTGTACTTTTAGTAGAGACGGGGTTTCGCCATGTTGGCCAGGCTGGTCTCAAACCCGTCACCTCCAGTGATCTGCCCACCTCGGCCTCCCAAAGTGTTGGTATTACAGGCATGAGCCACTGCCCCTGGGTCCTTTGCACTTTCTATGGCTGTAAATTTTCAGTATTATATGATTTTTGCTCACACGAGACGCTGAACTCAAAACAGGCTTTTGCTGCTTCCTGCTGTCCCACTGCAACTACAGAAGCGGGTACAGAGCAGGACGCAGTGAAGAATTGCTGAAGGCTGGTGGCGGCTGCTGCCAGTGGACGTCTCAGACGTTCTACCCTTGCCTACTGGTACACACTGTTGTCCATTCCTCTCATCAGGTTCAGATGCCTTCACCTCAGGTGACCCTTCAGTTATAGCAGCACCACTTCTCCCTCTTCAGGGCCTCCCGAGAAACGGCAGAGATTTGGGTCAAAGGGTAGGCAGGTGGTTGTCAGAGTGGAGGAGTTGGTTTTATCTTCTTACTTGAGCCCTTTTGAGTTGCCGGTTTTGGTCTGCAGACCCTGCTCTTCTGAACATTTCCTCCACTAAATGGTCTTCTCCAAACCTCACTGTCTCAGGAGACTCCCTGCCCTACAGCCTTCTCCAGAGGAGGCGGTTTCCTCAGTCACTTTCCAAGTACCTCAGGGCCACTAGTGGGGTTGGTGCCTTCTTGCTCCTTCCTCATTCCTGCTTGCCATGTCTCCTGTG